TTTTTTTTTTTGCAGAATCTAGTTTCTCTCACCATATTCAAATCTGTTCTAATGAGTTCTAGATCTCTCTACATGACCTACAAGGTCCCTTCCAACTCTGATTATCTGTATCTGTAGCTCTCCATCTACCTGCTTCTGTGTTTTCCTATCCACCCATAAGGAATGTGAACTTCTGAAAGTCCTTGGAAGGTGTTGCAAGGGACTGGAATACGTGCAATCAACCTTAATTTGGAAAGTGGGGAAGAGAAAAGAATAAATTATTTCTTCTAACTAGAAAGGATGAAGTCATCAGATCCAACCCCTTACACTCAGTGGTGGGATTCAAATTTTTTTACTACCGTTTCTGTGGGTTTGGCTTGGTGAGTGTGGCAGGGGAAGGATACTGTAAAATCTCCATTCCCTCCTCACCTCACTAACCTGCTTTCCAGCTCCGTTCTCCTGTGCAGGGCAACAAAAGAAGACCCAGCTGATCAGCTGGGACTTGGGAGGCAGAGAATAGATGGGGGCGGGGCCAGTCAAAAGTGGTATTCCAAACTACTCAAAATTTCCATGACCGGTTCTCCGAACTACTCAAAATGTCCACTACCGGTTCTCCAGAACTGGTCAGAACCTGCTGAATACCACCTCTGTTTGTACTCTATAGTATTCACTACACCACCCCTAAGGGATAACTTCCAGCCTTTGTATGAAAACCACCAGGGAAGCTTATCAAAGCCTGTTCTGCTGATTGGCAGCTGTTCCTGAGCTTCTTAAACTTCTCTTCTTCTTCTGAACTTCTTTCTTCTTAAGAAAAAGAAACTGGACAGCCACTTGTCTGGCATGATATACGGTCTCCTGCTTGAGCAGGAGGTTAGACCAGAAGACCTCTAAAGGTCCCTTCCACCTCTATTATTCTGATGTGTGATCTGTATCTACCTCCTTGAAGTTTCATCCCACTAGTCCTAGTTTTGCCCTCTGGAGCAAGGAAGAATCGTTGAATGAATGTTTTGAACAGCTCTTTCATCTGTGACCATCTGGGATAGCAGCCAACAGCACCAAAACTTGAGGAGGAATGATCAAACCAATATGAAATTTCAAGCCCTATTCCTTAAGCCTACTGCTGCTAATCTCAGATTTCCCATTCTGGTTCAAGATTGCATATTTCAGGGTTCTGGTGTTCGTATCTCCCTGGGGCAATTGGTTCCTTCCTTTTACAAGTAATCCTCAACTTACAACCGTAATTAAGCCTGGAAGTGAATGGTAAGTTGTTGCAGTAATAAATTTAAGCCAGTATGTGACCAGATTAGATTTTTTGAAATATTTTATGGTGGTCATTAACCAAATACCATGGTTGTTAAATGAATCAATTTTTCCCTAATGGGATTTTTTTTTTTTTTGCCAGAGATCAGAAGTAAACACTGGAAACCAGGAAAAAAAGTCACAAATTGTGGTCATGTGACTGTTGGAAGCTGCAAACCACCATAAAGGTTGCTTGCCAAGTGCCCAATTGTATGATTGTGGTTTGTGAGTGTGTGTGTGTGAATGTGCAGCTCTTGTAACTAACAACAGGTTGTAAGTAGCTCTGGGCAGGGAGTAGGATTCTACCGGTTCGGACTGGTTTGGGCAAACCGGATGTTAAAGTTATATCAGGATTGCCAAACCGGTATTTCAACTGACCGGCTGGCCCGGTCTACCCCTCCCCACCCAGGAGTCTCCTTGCGGCCCATTTTCTGTGGAAGTAAGTACAGGATATGCATGGAGGCTCTGGGAGGGGGAAAATTAGCCTTCTTGAAGTCCAGAAATGGGCCTGTTTCCGGCTTCCGGAGGGCCTCCAGAGCCCAGGGGAGGCTGTTTTCGCCCTCCCATAGGCCCGGGGAAGCCTCCAGACCCTTGGGTGAGTGAAAACGGCCTCACCCAGGCCCTGGAGGCCCTCCGGAAGCTGGAAACAGGAAGTTCAGGTAGGCCACACCCACCATGGCCATGCCCACCCAGCAACTGGGCAGCGAACCAGTTGCTGGCAGTTTTGAATCCCACCCCTGGCTCTGCAGGATGTCCGTCATAACCTAGATTAGTTGTTAAGTGAGCGATGGTAGGCTGAGGACTACCTATAAACACCTTTGTTAAGAGCGATGCCCATTTTCCTTTGCAGGCTATCCACTATGGCATCAGCAGGAGAGTCCCAGGCGGTGGTCCAAGCCATAGAGACCCTTAGCAGAGGGCAAGATGTACGGAGAGAGACGGAACTTCTCATGAAGCCTTACGCCAACTGGGAGGAATTTCTCATGCCAGCGCCCATTTCCATCGCTATCCTAGGGGAGCTGATCTTCATCTCAACAGGACAGGGGGATTTCTCCATCAACATGTTACCTCCCGAGGGAGGCTTCCGGCACCTCAAATATCCGGAATCCTTCAAGGCCTCCTTGTGCCAAGTCAGCAATCGAGGCTGGACCGCCTTCAACGAAGCCCACGTCAACATGGATCAGATTAGACTGCTAGCCAGCAGCATCCCCGAACAGATGAAAACAATCATACGGACTCTCATCCAGGAGACGGAGGTTGTCACGGCTTTGCTTCCCAATCAGCTCAAAACCCTCCAGGCAGTGACGGAGAAATGCGGTGAGTTGGCTAAGGCGGTCAGGTCCAAATTCACAGATGTGATCCACCTCATCCAAGAACTCCTGGAGGCCTGTCTCAATGCCAAGCGGGGCTATGAGAAAGAGCTGAAGGAAGTGCAGATCGCTCTGGAACAAGCCAAGATCCGAGAAAAGTCCGCCAAGGAAGCCAAGGAGATGGCCGAATGGTACCATCATCAGATGAAGGAGCAAGTGGAAGAGTCTTTTCAACAGTATAAAGAAGCCATGGACTCCATCCCTATAGGATGGGATGCGGTCGGAATGGAGCTGGTCATGACTCTCACCCAAACTCTGGGGACTTTTTCGGTTGAGTTTAGCCGGATGCTAGCAGGGAAGCAGAAGATACTCGGAGAAGTAGCTGAGATGGGTGGAGGCGAAGGACTGACGAGGATGATTCCTTTCATCTCAGCCAGCGTCATATGTTCGAAGTCAGCTGAGCTTTTGACCTTTGCTACTAGCTTGAGGAACCTCTTAGATGACCATGGAGGCCTTAAGACCTCCTTGATTCTCGATGAAAAGAGCGGGGAGATCAAAACAGAGTGGGTGAAGAAGAATTTACAAAGGCTGAGAGACTCTATTGCAAAAGAGGACGAGTGTGACCCCAAAACCAAGGCCCAGGAGATTTGCCAAGCTGCCTTGGATATTTGTCAGCAGCTGGAGCAAATGGCCGTATCCGTGGGTAGCATCGGGAAAGTGGGGAAGAGTTTGCTGGATGGAATACACCAGCTCCATAAGAAGGCTTCCGAATTCGACTCCTACAGTAAAATGTACACTCGGTCTCCGGCTTTTTCGCCCAAACCCCCCAACGTGTCCAAGATGGGGGAAGTGAGAAACCCGGGAGTGGAAAACGCCCGCCTTAAAGCCCAGCAGAGCCGAGAGGCCTTGAAGGCCACCAGAGAGGAGTATCAAAGAAGCTTTGAAAATTTCAAGAAGCAGAATGAAGAACTGATCGAGACCCTTTGCGCTATGAGAGGGTACCAGGTTAAGGAAGTGGACTTTGACACGGCCAGGAAAATGCTTATAAAGGGCCTAGAGGCCCTCAGCCGGGTAAAGGAGCAGTGGGAAAAGATGGTGAGGTTTTTCCAAATGATCTCCAACTTAATCGAGACCTGCCTGGTGTGGAGCGTCAAAGAATTTGCCGACACCGTGGATGGGGCCCAAAAGGTCTCCAGCTACTCGTCCAAAGCTTTCGTGGCTGACCTGGTTTATGGACATATTTTCAATGCCTCCAGTGTGGCTCAGCTGGTGGCCATGATTTCAGAGACTTATACTCTGGTGTCGGAGAAGTACCTGATGGAGCGGGTGAGCCACTTAGGGCACCTGCTGGCCATGGAAGCTGAGGAGCCGAGTTTAGCTGCCGAACGAGCCGCCTTGGCTGAAGGCTGCGACGCAGCGCGGAACGCCGTGAAGGAGCTGGTCTTGCAGAAGAAAGCTGAGTTTGAGAGAAGTTTGGAAGCCAGGGCTGTGGCCATCGAAAAGGAGATGAGAGCCATTTTACCTGCAAACAGGGAAGCTGCTGCTGACCCTCAGCTAAGAACGGTCAGCCCTGAAGAAGAAAGCAAGTTCATATGAATCCAGTATCTTGGAGGAACAGGGCAGCCCTGGCAATTATAACCCCAAAATTGGATCACTGTAGTTATATTTGGCTATTATCCTCAATTTATGATCACAATTGAGCCTGTGGTGAGATTCAAAATTTTTGTGACTGGTTCTGTGGGCGTGGCTTGGTGGGCAGGGGAAGGATACTGTAAAACTTCCATTCCCTCCCCACTCCCGGGGGAAGGGTACTGCAAAATCTCGTTTCCTCCCCACCCCACTAACCTGCTTTCCAGCTCCGTTTTCCTACGCAGGGCAACAAAAGAAGAGCCAGCCAATCAGCTGGGACTCGGGAGGCAGAGAATAGATGGAGACGGGGCCAGTCAGAGGTGGGATTTGCCGCTTCTCCGAACTACTCAAAATTTCCGCTACCGGCTCTCCAGAATCGGTCAGAACCTGCTGAATACAACCTCTGAACTGAGCCCAAAATTTATGCTGCTAAGTGAGAAATTTCTGCAGTGAGTTTTGTCCCATTTTACGACCTTTCTTGCCACATTTGTTAAAGTGAAATCCCTGCAGTTGTTAAAATAGTTCCCATGTCGTTATAAGTGAATCTGGTGTCCTCATTGTCTTTGCACAAGATTCCAGATCACAGCAACCATCCTAAATGTCAGTCAGTTGTCGGGCATCCAAATGTAAATCACGTGACCCTGGGAATGCAGCAACGGTCATAAATGTGAAAAATGGTCATAAGTCACTTTTTTCCAGTGCTGTTGTAACTTCAAACAGTCGCTAACTGTTGTAACCGGAGGACTACTTGTATGTTTTCCAGTTTCTTTGAAAAAGTGACTTTATGACCGCTTTTCATACTTACAACCATTTCAACATCCCTTTGGTCATAGGATCAAAATTTGGATGCTTTGCAACTGGTTCATATTTGTGACGTTGCATTGTCCTGGGGGCGGGGTTTGTGTGTCATGCGATTAGCTTTTGTGACCTTCTGACAAGCAAGGTGAATGGGGAAGCCAGATTCTCAGAACGATGTTGCTAATTTATCAGCTGCAGTGATTCACTTAACAACTGTGGCAAGAAAGGTCATAACATGGGTCAAAACTCACTTAATGGATGCTTCACTTAGCCACATAGATTTTGGGCTGACTTGTGGTCGTAAATCGAGCACTACCTGTATGTTTTATGTGTAATGAAATAGTAAAAAAAAAAACCATTGTAGTTTGATTTATTGATAGATGTTCTCACTTGCTTATTTAGTTTGAAGAAATAAATACAGTTTAATAGTTTCATCACAGTTGGGTTATTGCATCTTTTGGTAAGACCAATTATTTTCTCACAATCTTGGTTTACTTTTTTCTATTTTATAGTACCTTTAAAAAAAACTGCTTTACTTCCACAAGAGCATTAGATGCTTAGGATGGCTGGCTTTGTTTTGAAGGACAAGCAACATCTTATTGTATAGGCTATTCTGGGTCACATAACCAGGAAGCAGGTGAGGGCCGTGGTGGGATTCAAATAAAACTGGTTCTCTGGCCTAATGACTGGCTGGGTGGATGGGTGTAATTGGGTGGTCATGTGACTGGGTAGGTGTGGCCAATGCGACATCACTCTTGCCACTCATCACTACTCTTTGTCATGCCTGGCCGTTCATCTAGCTGGAGCGAATAGTTTTCAAAAAAGAATGCTAGCCTTGTGCAAATAACAAACATCTTGACTTCAGGTTTGATGCATCTGAGTATTAGAGTTCATCCTAGTCTCCTTTCCTACTAACAGCTCCCTCTCAGATTATAATTTGCAACAACCTCTCTTGTCTTTTGCATCATTCTATGGGAGATTATTCTGAAATGTTATCTGTGATGTTTGCAGCTCCTATACAGCTATCACAGCTATACAGAACACCCTGGTAAAGCAAAATATACCTCTCCCAAACAGAGTATACAAGATCAAGAATTCAGAAAAAAAAATGAGGCTTCACAATTTCTTGGCATGTGGTATATACGTCTTTTTTAATGTTCCTTTCCATTCTGGTCTCTGATCCAACCGTTTGCTGCTGTCATTATGTGATATCAAATTGGTGTCAACTCTCAGCACCCATATAAATAGATCTTCCTCAGATTGATCTGGTATTTATTTATTTTATTTTATTTGTCAATTGTTTACAAGATAATAAGTATAAGTGTATACATAGTTATGAATACATGAAATGGGTACATATAAGAAAAATAAAATAAAAATAAAAGAAACAATAGGACAGGGACGGTAGGCACGTTGGTGCGCTTATGCACGTTCCAATGATATTTCCATTGTCACTGTAATCAGGTCCATCCAATTTGCAGCTGGATATCATTTTTTTTTCTTCCACCTTTGAAAGGACTATGGACCTCTCAAGCAATCTGGGTCTTTGCATAATGTATCCAAATTATAATGTAACCCAATCCTGGCCACTGTTTTGAGTGAGAACACTGGATTGCTTTGTTTGATGATCTATATCTTTGTACAGGCAGGACTCTTCCCCAAGTTCAAAAGAGTCAATATGCTTTCTATCCTGGTTCCTTAAAAGTCCAACTCTTAAGTCTTTATTAAGCATTGTTTATTAAGAATGGAATGGAATTCTTTATTGACACAAGGAATTTGTCTCCGTTGCATAAGCTCTCAATGTATGTGCAAGCAGTAAGTGATAAATCATGATTATAATCATGAAATACAATCATCATAACATACAACACTGAGTTGACCGTCATAACATACAAAATAAGCAATCAACACAAATCATAATAGGATACTAAATAAAGGCAATCAATATAAACCATGAGATTCAAACAACAAAGCTATAATATGCTAAAGGAATAGGTAATAGGAAAGTCGAGAAAGATAGGGCAGTAAGTACGGCTTGCCTTCACTGTTTTTGCCTGTAGTGGAACGCACTAAAAGCAGGTAAAATCTTGAACCACAGGTAGACATAGGCAATCTCTATCCTCACTACGGTCAATGGGTCGAGGAAATTAAACATGTGGGAAATACTAGGTCAAGTTGAAAGCTACACTTACACCGCTCTCTGCACCTAGAACCACCATCATGGGCCACAATAGTCAGGCCAGACCAGGTTTCGAATTTCCAAGCGATCGCTTGCAAAGAGGGAATAGAATGGACTCTCTCTTAAAAACAGCCATCCTAACGCACCTCGACGTTTTAAACTTTCACCAGGCTGTTCTTTGCAAGGCTACACTCGGAGCTAAGCTCTCAAAGCTGCAGACCACACACCAAGATGGGGTAGTTGCTTCGCGTGCTGAGAATGGGCAGTATGGAAGCAGGCTTGGAAGGGGCAGCATGGAAGCACGCTTGGAAGGTGTAGAGGTGGGACATGCTGCTGCTGTTGTAAAAAGAGAGCTGCCCCCCTTCAAAGTCCAGGTAGACCCCCACTTTTTCCATCTTCCCGCAGACCGTGAGGGGCGTACGGGGATCACTCAGAGCTTGGTAGTTTCCCGCCTTCAGCCTAATAGCCCACACCCCTTCCTTGGGCAAAAAATTCAGCCAATTTTTACGCTTCTCAAACTTTTGGGCCATCCCCACTATCCAATCGGGACTGTCCCCGACTTGGATCTCCCAGTAGAAGCGCCCAGTGCTATTGCCCTTCTGTCCCACCGCATACGGGGTATACAGGTTGGGGATGGGGGTGGAGGTGAAGCTGCCCACGCTTCGTCGCTGGCGGCTGAACTTGATCCCGGTGTTTTCTTCCACGAAGACCAAGCTGGGATAAGCTGAGTAGGATTCCAAAGTGATGCTTGCAGGGACTGGAGAGGGAAGATGGAAAGAATTCAGAATGAACAAGAGTGGACTTGTACAGCGGGCGATTGCAGGAGTATAAACTAATCCAATAAAAAACCCAGACACAAATGAATGCAGTATTAGCCAGCTGTTAATAAAGCTTCTGCCGTCCTCAACGTATCTGAAAGCTTCCTTTCTCTCTTTTAGCCCAAACTACATTACGGTGTAATTATAGATAATAGGGTCATTAGAGCAGTTAAGCAATTATATTTGGAAGAGTTCATGGTAAATGGAAACCAGGCCATAAAAGAACACAGTGGCTCGACACCATCAAAGCTGACACCAGTCAGAGCATGGAAGAACTCCAAAAAGTAGGGTGAGACTGGAAGATGTGGAGAGACCTGGCCCATAGAATCGCCAAGAGTTGGACAGGACTGAATGGATAACACCACCATCATTATCATCACATTACAGGATTATTGCTGTGGAGTACATAGCCTTGAACTTCCTCAAAAAATACGATATAAAAGTAATAAACCAATAACCAATACATTTGGTCTAAAAACCTCAACTCACCTGGATGTATTGCATTCAGGAGCTCCTTCCAGGCGTAGAATTGCAGAGGTCCTTTAAACTCTCCCAGGTTCAAGTCGACAGCCACCACTCCATCTTCCTCCTCCTTCTCTTCTTCTACTTCCTTCTCATACTCACCTGCGTCTTCACTGCTGGCACTCTCCCCATCTTCTCCTGCCAGTTCAGCATCTAGTTCAGTGCCCCCCCGAGCTCCTTGTTCCTTATTGAGCCTGTAGGAGAAGAGCATCCCAAGGATCAGCCATTTTAGAATAAGCTGCCCCAATTCTACCAAACCTAGAGGAATAATCACATCTACAGATATACTTCTATAAAAAGATATCTGAGCACTTCTAATAAAAAAAAGAATGATGCTGCATTTATTATTATTACTTGTTGTGATTGGAAGGATTGGTACTGTTAAGAAACTTTGAATCTGATGACTGTTAGATCGTGGATTGACGTCAGAACCAGAGAACGTTAATCTGAAGGGCAAGCCAGTTAATTAGCACATTGCCTTAATGGGTATAAAAGGACACAGCTGAGCTGGTGCCTTTTGCCAGAAACAAAATGTCTATTTTGAATGAGGACGTTACTGCAAAGAGATCTCTGTTTGTTTGAATTTTGAAGGGAAGTCCTAACAGTTTTTGCCAGCCGTTATCTTGTTATTTTCTACAGTTTGATTTGTTTGTGAAACGGCTGCTTTGTGTTTGTTCATTTGAATCTCCAAGAGGAGACATAACATTATTGTTTCTGGCCTGAACAAACCATCTTTCAAGCAAGATGGATTTAAATCAACTGCAGCGTTTGGTAGATGTGCAGCAACAGCAAATAAATCAGCTCCTGCAAAGCAATGTGACGCTTCAGAATCAGGTAACACAATTGCTGAATTATGTTTCCAGCTTACCAAGCCCTGCTGCTGTTCCCCCTGCCCCTCCTGTGAGGAAAAGCCCAGTATCCATGCCGGAGAAATTTTCTGGGCCCATTCGTTTCGCCACCCAGCCAGTGCGTATGATCATTGGGGATCATGAGGAGGCGATAAGTTTTTATATCACCTCGAACCTTCATCTACCTTTGGTGCACGGAATGTCCTGGTTGCGTTTGCACAATCCGTTGGTGGCTTCGTCGCAGAACGGTATTTCTTTTCCAAGTCTCCAATGTGTAGACCACCTGAGACAATTGGAACGAGCGACGCCTCCATTGGCTGTGGAAGACAGAGTGGGGTTGTCAATGAAACATCGTCAAGTTAAACATCAGACTCGGGGGAAGGGCCCTGCAGTGGGGGATAGTGTTGTGATTGGAAGGATTGGTACTGTTAAGAAACTTTAAATCTGATGACTGTTAGATCGTGGATTGACGTCAGAACCAGGGAACGTTAATCTGAAGGGCAAGCCAGTTAATTAGCACGTTGCCTTAATGGGTATAAAAGGACACAGCTGAGCTGGTGCCTTTTGC